CTTCAAAGAAAGCGATCTTACCTTCCAACAAAAATTGTGATGTTATGAGGGACGAAAAATAATTATGGTGGCTTCATATTGTGTCCTCCCTGCTACTTTTAGACATCTTATTAATGGATAAAAAGAAAATGAGTAGTTCACTTTTCAGGACAAAATAGATTTCTTTCTTTTCCCCTCTATATATGAACTAGGTATGACTATCTTACAACTCAGGAGTTAAAGCATTAAAGTATGTAAGTTTAAAAAGCTACAGAAGGAGAAATTCAACCTTATTTTTAGAATAACTCACTGTCACTTACTGGCTTTTCTTTATGCTTCTTTTTTGGGGGAAGAGGTGTCGAGCTGCACCTGGATAGCACTGTGCTAGCTAGAATGCAGCACACATTAGACAGATATGGAACTATCCAGACATAATCGGGTTAAGAAAAAGTCTGAATGGAATATATGAGATTGTCAGTAACTGTTGTGTCTCCATGGTGAAATTACATCTTTTTAAAAAATAATACTTCAGGCCGGCGCTGTGGCTCCCTAGGCTACTCCTCCGCTTGCAGCGCCGGCACACCGGATTCTAGTCCTGGTCGGGGCGCCGGATTCTGTCCCGGTTGCCCCTCTTCCAGGCCAGCTCTCTGCTGTGGCCAGGGAGTGCAGTGGAGGATGGCCCAAGTGCTTGGGCCCTGCACCCCATGGGAGACCAGGAGAAGCACCTGGCTCCTGCCTTCGGATCAGTGTGGTGCACCGGCCGCGGCGGCCATTGGAGGGTGAACCAACAGCAAAGGAAGACCTTTCTCTCTGTCTCTCTCTCTCACTGTCCACTCTGCCTGTCAAAAACAAACAAACAAACAAAAAAACAAAAACAAAACAAAAAAACAAACAAAAAACAAAACAAAACAAAACAAAAACAAAACAAAAAAAACAATCATGCTGTAAGGAAAGCTGATTTGTGACACAGGTTTTATAAACTGCCTTAGTGGATGCATAAAGTTTCTAAGTGACAAAAAGAATTCTTACCCTTAGTTGTGACTTTTCACCAAATATATAAAGGGCTGCTTGGCGTTTGAAGAGCTGGTTTTGTAGGTAGGTGCTGTTATTAAAGGAGGCCGAGTGATCCTTGCCTGCCAGCCGGGCACCAACATCAATGAAAGATGTTGGAGAGCTGATCAAGCGAGCACTAGAGCGAAGACTTGCCCACACACCTTCACAAAAGCCAGAAGAATAGAGTGAGATAAGCTGACGCCACCAAATAAAGGGGTAATCATAATCAGGGAATGCCAGTGAATGAGGAAAAAGATGCATGCCCTGGAGTTACAGTTCTAGAGGGAACAGTAAATTCATTAATCCAAGTAATCATGGTTCATACTAGTCACCTGCCTTTTACTTTAGCAACATAGCATTATTCTACATGGCATTTCACAATCACATAATCTTAGAATTATGAACTCACCCACATCAATTCTACTTATGCATTCTGATATGTTTAATATTTATAGGTTAGTAGTGAGTACGTAGAAACAGTGCACTGACACTAGAAACAAAACATGCAGGCAGGAGGCAACAATGAGTAACTGAATTTCTCAGGGCTTCCTTAAAGAAGAAGGAACACTCTTGTGCTCATATAGTTCAGTAAGAAGCCTAGGTTAAGATAGAAACAGAAATTTACTAATGTGAAATCTAGCCTGGATTTAAAACAAATATCTATGTATCATGCCAAAATGATGTAATTCTAAACAAAGTGATTATTTTATAGTTTTCCCAGTATCCATGAAAAATAATAGGAAATTATAAATTTAGTAATATGTACTTCATTTATTCATAGCGGGTACAGACAAAAGTAGACTAAGAGAAAGGACAGGTTAAGCTGCTGGAGGAGTTCTCATGGCTATAAACTGACCTTAATTATATAATTGAAAGAATAAAGGATTTTATAAGCATTTATGGGGGTAAGAGACAAGTTACCAAGAAAAGGTTTTGTAGGTGATTTCTGTTAAACATGCATAAATCTTTCTATAGAATTATGAGCTTTTCTCAGATATTATGGCAAGTATTAACTTTTTGCAAATGGGACCACAGGAAATTCAAGATGTGGATGAGATTAAAGAATATAATTTGACAAACCAATGTGAAAAAGTCACTTGTAACATATATATGACCATATGAAGATGGTTTAGTGACACATCAGGACATATAATACAGTACCTTGATTATGGATTCTTCCCTTAGCTGAAGATTTGGAATTTGACTGAGTAAAATAATTATTTCTGTACCCATGCACTGGCAGGTAAGATTAAAGATAGAAGGAGAAATGAAATGTATATAGATACAGCAGCAAATATCAGAGCAGATTAAGAGAAGAATAAGCTATTTTAAAAAATGAGTTAACAGGGGAATATAATAAAAGAAGATTTAATTAACAAACAAAAAGCTGCACATTCACAAAAAAGAATTGAGTGCCTGTTACATGAAATTCAGCAGCTGTTTACAAATACCATAAGCACAACGAAATGGACAGCACAGCAGAAAGTGCCACTAAAAAATTATACCAAATGGAATAAGCTTTTGAAGATGGTCTTTCAGTGACAATTTATATAATAAAATTAAGAAATTTGGGATGTGTGTGTGTAAATGTTATGAATACATTGGCCCTCGTGTTGAAGGAGATGGATTGGCAAATGTTACGTGTTGTACAACACGCTTGTTCGTGGAGCAAGGTCATCCATCGCACAGGGCAACAATGAAGCTCTAGTAACCATTTGGAATAACTAAGGGCAGGTTTTTGCAGAAGAGCATTAAGCATTGCCACACTATCTTCCTTCCTTCCTTTGTTTTCATTTGAAAATTACATTTATTTTCCATTAACAGGCAATTATGAGCAGCAAATATTCACAATCCTGTGACAATACCCAATACCACTAATAATTTAGCTTGTGATGACTGAAGTAAGACTTCTCTTAAAATTCCTATTTGCATCAAAATGACAGGCAGTAGTAGAGATAATACTTTTGTAATTTGAGTAATATATATATGTATATATATTTTGAAAAGCAAGAAAGAGCTTCATGACTATGGCAAATATCATCTGGCAATAACAAAAATGGTGAATAGTGACATCTCTCCCACAAAGGAAATACTCAAGTCAATACTGTATTTATTCAGGATTGTAAACTTTACTAGTATTATTATTAATACAATGCAAGGCTAAATAAAATATGGAATAATATAAAAGAAAACTTATTAGAAGTGATTTTTTTATTTCTGCCTCCCTCCATTGGACTCAGGAAAGAAGGGCAGTGATGGCGGTAGTGCTCACAGGGTCAGAAAGTAGTTTGTATAGATGGTGGCTAATACACAAAAAGCATGCCCAAGACAGAACAAAGACCTGGGACAGCCTGGAAAACGCACAAGGCCTCCTGTGTGCTGGCCAACTGCTCTCCTTTCTGCCAGTTTTGAGCTTTCCTACTGGATATATGGAACACTAAGATGATGACAGTGAAGACTGAGTGGTTCAAGATTCTCAGATACTGTTCCCTCAAAACACCACACATTCTTACGCAGGACTCTGCCTGGAATGATTTTTTCCACTTCTTTAACTTATAAACTCCTATTTTCCCCTTAAGATCTAGGTACAATGTTAACTCCTCTGAAAAGCATTCCTGAGTTGTAGGGAGCTCTATTTGAATTTCCATCACAATGTACCGTGATCTTGTGTTTGCAAAGGCAGGAGGCCTATTCTTGTATCCATGTTAAGAGACTGCTATTTAGGCACTTAAAGCATTTGTGGATTACTTTCTTTTTAAAAATGAATATACTGATTCTCCATTTTATCTTCAACCCAATTATTTGCACTGAAAGAGTAAAAAGAAGGGAATTAAACTAAAAGAATTAAGCATTCCCAAATAGAGGCTCATGAAAATTTTCCAAGTGCTTATCAACTGGCAGAAAATCAGCAATGACAAAATGACTGAAGTGGTGTGGGGCCAGTAGAGGATGATGGGAATTGTAATTCCAAGTGGAAGTCATTTAACCAAAGGAATTATGCGGCTGCAGGAGTGGTGGGGAGGTTGACTTAGATTTCCTGAGTGAGGCTGAGGCTGAGACATTCTGAGCACTTAACATTAACAAAGGTCTATGATGGTATTTTTTCAAACAGCAGCATCCCCCTTTGTGGCTTGTGAAATTATTTTAGTAAATCAAATCAGTGTTTTTTTTTTTTAATTAAGTGATATATGTGTATGTGGTATAGATGAATACTGTTTCATGAAACTCCTATTTTAGTATCTATATATTTTGCATTCTGGCTATTATCAGAATTGTGATATAAAAATATGTATATAAAATGTATTTCTTCCTATGACTCATAATCAAAAAGCTTGATAGGTACTGGCCTTGACTACAGCATATACCTTGTACTCTCTTGCCTTAGGACAATTAGGCTTAATGCCACTGAAATGCAAATATTGACCCCCCTTCTGCCCAGTATTAAGCAACAGCAAAGATAACAATTATCACAAAAATAATAAGGAAAACTAACATTTATTCAACTCCTATTACGAGCTATTGATTACCAAAATTGTTTTACATATATTATTTCATTTATTGCTTATAACTACCTGAAAACTATTATCTCCATTTTTACAAGTGAGGACACTCAGAATTAAGAGGTATTCTAATTTGTTTAATATTAAACAATAACTAGAGGGCTATGGCTGGAATTAGAAGATAATTAAACTCAGTGTATTGCTTCTGAGAAGAAATGATATAGTTAATTTCCCCAAGGGGAATGCACTATTGCTCAAAGCATGAGTGTTTCTTAAGTACTAGTGTTATTCCCTTCACTCTATTCAGAATAAACAGAGGAGAGAAGGGAAAGAGATGCTTAGGTTGGGTGTGGGGATGTGCTGCCTTAATTGTGAGTGTCACTTTATGTCTAGCCCAGGGCATGAGACACAAGATATATTTAGTAAGTGTTGTGATGAAAGTCCCAGTTACATTGCTATTTGTTGTGTGACCTTGACAAAATCACTTATTCTGAGTCTCTTAAAATACATATTCTAGAGGCATTGTAAGATTTAAAATATGAAAGATTTAAAAGCTGCCTCTGTGGGCAGGCATTTGGTCTACTGGTTAAGTTGCTTGTGCCCCACATCAAAGTGGCTGGATCCCATCCCTGGCTCCTTCTCCTGATTCCAGTTTCCTGCCAATGCAGACCATGGAGGGAAGCAAAGATGACTCAAGTAATTGAGTTCCTGTCACTCATGTGGGAAATCTGGATTGTGCTCTCTGCTTTAGCCTCAACTCAGTCCTGGCCACTGTGGACATTTGGAAGAGTGAACCAGTTGATGGGAGTGAACACTTCCCCCCACCCCCCTAAAAAAAGAAAACTGCTTCCATGTGGCCACTTCTCAGATACCCAGACATTACATTTTGGTATTTAGGAAGCAGCACCAATTTTCTCATAGCATTTTTATAATCAAAGTAATTTACCCAGGTTTTGAGTATACGTGTTCTCCGTATGGGGCTCAAAAATTATTTTAATTTTAAATGAAACACAATGTGACCTATTCAAATCTTCATGCTTTTCTTACATGGTTCTTGTGTAAAAAAAGATGCACTGCCTTAGGAATTCTCTAACATGCAAACTGAATGCAAAGTAATTACCGTGGCTGAAAAAAGGTGAAGGCCAACCTCAACCTTGGTTCATCGGAGCAGGAAAGGCACACAGAAATAAGAGAAGAACACCAGGATCTAAGACTGTTAGACAATGAAAGGAATGGAAAAACAGTGAAAATAGAAGAGAAAAAGAGGGAAGGTTAAGACGAAGAATTACTAAGAGACAGGAGGCTCCTCTTACACAAAGTAAATGAGGAACTTGTAGAGTAATGGTAGCTCTCCAGAAGAATGAGGAGGCTTCACCAACTGGCTTGCCTCAGTCTATTCCTGAAACTTTATGTGAGGAGAAATGATGCTATCTGAAGAGACACAGAAAATAGCTTTAGGGATCACAGAGGATGTTGAAGGTGTCACGAAAGAACAGTATCTGTTTTTCCAATTAATGGCTAGGAAACTGGAAGATCTGAAAGACTTTGGGAGTAAAGAGATGGCATAAAACAATGAGATTTGTGTTTCTGTAACCCAGCTTAAGTTGCCAGAGTGGTAGGCATAAGTAAACATGGTAAGTTCAAGGTAATTTCAGTAGAAAATATTTTGGAAATGTTATCAGAAATAATAATTACAGCCTTAGATATACAATGGAATGGGCCATAAACAAATAGATTTAACCCAGAGAGGTAAACAGAACCCTCCAGGTAACTAGCAAAGAATGAATTCATGAAAAGAATGGAACCACTAAAGGGGACTCTTAAAAGAAAGTAGCCATGAGCCTAAGAACAATGTAAAAACAGAGAAGATAATATAGCTGAAGCAGACTGGTGAAAATCCATAGGCCTTAGGTATGAACATTAAAGGACAGTCGCTGTTTTAGCTGCAACCCATATTAGAGGCCCCCTGGTCAAATGTAGGAACAAGTAGCGTGTTTGCAAAGGTCAAACACAAAAGCAGAGTGTGGAGTGGGAGGGCTTCAACTACACATTTGCTGGAAGCTGCACTGTACTACAAGTTGCATGGAAAAATTACTGTCTTGCCTTGCTGACAATATAAATTTTCAGATGGTAAATACAGCAATAGGGGAAGCTACAATCTTAGACCAAATTCTGACAAGAATTCCTGGTAAGAGAAATACCAGGAATCTTAGGAGAAAATCACTTTAGTATTCTTTGGTTCAAATTCAACAACAAAGAAATGATGAGAAGAATGAAGTTTCTATCTGAAACTTTTAAATGATGGTATTCTAAAAATTCATTAAAAAGCTATGAGTGTTTGGAGTTGAACTGCGTTCCCCAAAATTCTTAACCCTCAGGATTCAGAATGTGTCCTTTTTCAGAAGTAAGGTCATTGGAAACGTACTTAGCTAAGATGAGATCATACTGGAGTAGAGTGAGCTCTGAATTCGGTATCCCTGGTGTCCTTATAAAACGGGTAAACTTGGAAACAGACACACAGGGAGAAAGCCACTTGATGACAAAGGCAGAGATCTAGATGATGTATTCCGAAGCCAAGCAATGCCAAAGATTGTTAGCAAGCCTCCAGAGGTTGAGAGAGAGGTAGGACACAGGTTTCCCCTCACAGATCTCAGAAGGAACCATTTCTGTTGACACCCTGATCTTGGACTTCAAGCCTCCAGAAGTCAGACAGTTGTTTAAATTATTCAGTTTGTGGCACTTTGCTATGGTAGCCCTGGGAAACCAGTACAATGACCTCAAGGCATGACACATTAACTGGGAAAATGACTCAAGAAGGTTGAAAGCTCTTGAGAAATCCTGCAATAGTGAAAGTTCTGATGAGGTAGGAAAAAAAAAGTATCCACAGAAACTGAAGAAACGCACATGAATTTCAAAACCGAGAAAATCACATTCTATAAAATACAGCCTTTAATGTTGACTTTGAACCAATTTTAGAATGGATTGTTGGTGGACTATTTATGATTACTTAGGAGAAAGCACTAATTCCTATAATAAATCATGCTAAAATAAAGCTTTTGTGATACAGTTAACAGTCTGAAAGCTTGGCAAATATTGGACTCAAAAGATTAGCAGAGATTTAGAAATCTGGGCCAGGTAAGTTTTAGTAGGAAGATTCATAACCAGCATAGATGAACAGATTAATCTCTTTCTTCAGAGAGGTTTATATTATTTTGCCATAGGTTTTGGTTCTTAGCTCTCATCTATTCAACATTTTTAAAAACAACAAATCACATGAGAACAGTGATCAAATCTAATGATGCAGAAAAACAGCAATATACTGGTAGACAGAATCCAGATCCAAAGATCTAACATAATAGTCCACATCCAAATGATGAAATTTTGTATTTAGAACATGTAGTATACTTAGATTCCAAAAGCAACCCTCAAGGTCAGTATCTGAACAACAACACAAGTGAAGCAGATGTAGGGAATTCATATGATATTTACCTCATTATGAAATAACCTAGTGATGGGCTGTTCCCACAGGTAATGTAATCTTAGGCAGCACAAACACTTTGAGAGATGGGCTCAATTCTGTGGGGAGTCCACAAACTGATACAGATGGTGAGTGGATTCAAACATTTGAATTTGGGATAAATAGAGTTACTTAAAGTTCTTAGGGAGAAAACATGGCAACAGTTTTTAGACTTAGTTTCTACCTTTAGAAGTCAATATGTGAAAGTTACATGATGGTGGCAGATTTTAGATCAATATGAAAAAAGAAATATCTAACAAATAGCTGCTTACACATGCAGGGGCTATTCTGGGAAAGAAGTTTCCCATTACTGATGAGGTTTTAAGCAGAATCAGGATCACCTACTCAGTATGTTTTCAAGGGGTTTCAGTGTTATATGGGAATCAGAGGAAGAGTTTAAGAATCCAGGATTCCATTGTGAAGCAGTGGGACTTTACAATCAAAACACCTGTTCTAGAATTGCCTCTGCAGAGGAAAAGAATCTCACATAAAGTTCAAGAGACAATACAGACCACCTTTTGGACTTTAAAAGAGCAAATATACTTAGTCTTTCTCTATTTCCTCATGATAGCAGCAATGGCCCAGAGGGAAAAAAGAGAAACCTGCATAACTTTATGTAATCCTCCAAACTAGTAATTCAGAGCTCATGAGTAAAAACAACAGGCTTTGGAGGTGCTGGTTTGTGTTGGATACCATTGAGTTTCCTAAGGTGTTTATGCTTTCTGTGATCAATTTTTCTACCTTGTCAACCTGGAGTATCAGGGAGTTCTCCCAAGGTAGATTCATCATTTAGACATGCTCTTCTCACCTCCTCTGCTCCCAAACTCATCAGTGTGTAAGACATCAACAGCTTATTATAACTCTTGTCATATGAGGCTAAACTCATCATGCTAGAAATAGATTTGACCATTCATTTACAGACGGGTAACGACGAACAATTTGAACCATAATCAGTTGATTTAAAATACCTACTATCTAGAATTTTTTTTTTTTTTTTTTTGCTTTTTATCTGTACCAGTGCTCAGTTATAAAAGCAATCTTACTAACCTCCTCGAGCAAAGCTATTGGATGGGTTTACATCCAAGTGTCCTGGCACTACCTGCTTAAGCACAGTGGACATTCTTGAAGTCCTCCTTTCAGTCCCTAAAGTCAGCCAAAAAGAAGAACAAACAAAAATCATGTTGTTTGGGTTAACATTACTCAAATGACAAAAAGTTATCTTCATGTGTAGCATGTCTAATTGCTGCCAAACATTGTAGTTTTTAAGTACCCAAAGCTTTATTAGAGATAACAAGGCAATGTTATTATTGCACCAGAGATAACACACACTTACAAGATTACAGAGAGTTAGGTTTGGCAAGTGCAATCAGAGAATTTAATGATAAATGAAGCAAGGCATGCATGGTGTTACTTTACAAGAAAAGCCACTTTCTGCTTATGTTGAGCTAATTCAAATAGCTGATTAAGCCAAAGAGACCAACTTCTCAAGTCACATGCTCCTGTGTCTAACACATTAGGGTTACCTCTACATGAACCCTCTTGGGGGTTCCATCACATGATAACTGAAACAGAATATTAGTACAAGTCTTAATGGCTTCATCCAAATCTCATGAAAACAAACTGTACTGAAAATCATAAAAGACTGTAGAAATTTTTAGAATTTCTAATAAATGGATGATTCTCATATATATTTAGCAAACATGTTCAACTTGTACATTCAACTTTATATTAATAAAGTCTAAATAAAATATATTCTGCAGGAAAAACAATGAGTGAATATTTTCAACAACTTCTTTCTTATTACTGTATTAAAAAGAAAATAATCAAATCTCCACATTTGGTTACTATTTACTAGACATTAATTGTGGTACTCTGATTTGATGTAAAATGAGTTACAGTTATAGCCTTACAGGGTAAAATTTTTACTGGGAAAAAAGCTACACAAACTAAGAATAGATCTATAGTATATAGACTACAGTAGTTGTCAAGAAGGAAATTATTGTCAAATCTTACCTGGAGACAGAGCAAGTGCTGGCCTGACAGTAAGGGTGCTGTTGCCTCGGAGTTTCTGATGGACAGAAACTGCACTCAGCAAGGCTTGCAAGTACTTTTCCTGTTCTATGCTACTGGAAGATTCTAAGGAGGTAGGAGCTATAAAAGGAAAACATATTGAATAAAACAAACTCTTTGTTAATAAACATACATATGTATTTATATGTTTATTCTTTATTTTATTTTTTAATTTTCTTACCTTTTTTATTTATACAAAGTGAACAAATCACATGTATTTCATATAAACAGATTTTAGGAGCACAGTGATGCTTCCCACTCTACCCTTCTTCTGCCTTCTTTCCTTTCAATCTTTACATAGTGTGTTTATTTTATTTTATTTAACTTTTATTTAATGAATATAAATTTCCAAAGTACAGCTTATGGATTACAATAGCTCCCCCCCCCATAACTTCCCTCCACCCGCAACCAGTCTTTAAGTCATCACACCCTAATAGAAACCAGCCCACTTAAAGCCTCAGTCTGTTAAATGGGTAATCCTCTGATTTAGTTTCACCATACCTACCTCTCTGTTGCTTCATCATCATCATCCCAGAAATAGCTCAAAAACAAGCACAGTGCTCTCCTTCCAAGCACAGGTGTACCTTCTCATTATCCAAGAAACTCAAAATGAAAACTCATCAACAATAACATCTCCTTGATGGCGTCCCTCAGTACTGTTCTATGCTACTGTTTAGGAACAGAGGATGGAGTGGGTTCCCTTGGCATGCCATAATGGGTAGAGGTGAGGGTTTCTCAATATCAATAGTTTTATTCTAATTCTCTCACATAGCCTAAGAAGGAACATGAGCTTGTAAGGATACCTTGGGGGAAGTGTGGAGGAAGATGGCAAGCAAACAGATGCAAATACACTAGATTTCCTGGTCCGTTTATTTTTTTATTTTTATTTATTTATTTTTTTGACAGGCAGAGTGGACAGTGAGAGAGAGAGAGACAGAGAGAAAGGTTTTCCTTTGCCGTTGGTTCACCCTCCAATGGCCGCCGCGGCTGGTGCACCGCGCTGATCCGACGGCAGGAGCCAGGTGCTTCTCCTGGTCTCCCATGGGGTGCAGGGCCCAAGCACTTGGGTCATCCTCCACTGCACTCCCTGGCCACAGCAGAGAGCTGGCCTGGAAGAGGGGCAACCGGGACAGAATCCGGCGCCCCGACTGGGACTAGAACCCAGTGTGCCGGCGCCACAAGGCGGAGGATTAGCCTAGTGAGCCGCGGCGCCGGCCTCCTGGTCCGTTTAAAAGAGGGCAAAATGAATGCACACATGGAAACAATTTTAAGAGCAAGTTTGGGTTGGAGGGAATGTGAGTGTGGTTTATGTACAGCAAAGCAGAACTCACTGAAACTCACCCAGGCACTTTAAAGAGCAATTAGGGGCCGACTCACTAGAAGGGCAATAGATCTTCATAAATTTTCTTTTTTTTTTTATTATTTTTTTTTGACAGGCAGAATGGACAGTGAGAGAGAGAGAAACAGAGAGAAAGGTCTTCCTTTGCCGTTGGTTCACCCTCCAATGGCCACCGCGGCTGGCGCGCTGTGGCCGGCGCACCGCGCTGATCCGATGGCAGGAGCCAGGAGCCAGGTGCTTTTCCTGGTCTCCCATGGGGTGCAGGGCCCAAGCACCTGGGCCATCCTCCACTGCACTCCCGGGCCACAGCAGAGAGCTGGCCTGGAAGAGGGGCAACCGGGACAGAATCCAGCGCCCCAACCGGGACTAGAACCCAGTGTGCCGGCGCCGCTAGGCGGAGGATTAGCCTAGTGAGCCGCGGCACCGGCCCAATTTTCTTATAACCGAAACAGAAAATATTTAGTATTATTATTTTTTATCAATTTTAAGATGCCATCATATTTCATAAACCTTAAGATGTGATCAATTATAACAGGCACCATTACTTTAGGTATACAGTAAAATCTCTGCCTTTTATTTATTTTAAAGATTTTTATTTGAGAGGGAGAGCTACAGAGAGAGGCAGAGACAGAGACAGAGAGACAGAGAGACAGAGAGAGAGAGAGAGAATGAGATCTTGATCTGCTGGGTTCACTCCCCAGCAGACCTGCTGCAATGGCTGGACCTGGGCCGATCTGAAGCCAGGAGCCAGAAGCTTCTTCTGGGACTCCCATGCAGGTGCAGGGGCCCAAGCACTTGGGCCATTTTCCACTGCTTTCCCAGGCCACAGCAGAGAGCTGGATCAGAAGAGGAGCAGCCAGGACACAAACTGGTGCCCATATGGGATGCTGGAAATGCAGACAGAGGCTTAGCCTACCATGCTGCAGTGTAGGCCCCAAATTTCTGCCTTTTAAACTATGAAAATGTTTTTTTCTGGTCACATTAATTGTAAGAGGTATCCTGACTTTAAAGACTATAATGTGAACAAATGTATGAGTTAAAAAACAGTAAATTTATATTACCTTAAAAATCACAAAATGGGAATATATTTCACATTTTTCCCATTATAAGCTCAGAGATATGCTCATGAGTGCTCTGGAAATGTTATTTTATGTAACTCTCACGTGCGTGTGTTCTCTCATACACACAGTGTGCTTTGCAGGACTCCTCCAGGCAGAAACAGTTAAAAGCTGATTTCCTTCCATTACACCAATGCTGAGTCTCCAAGCCAGGTGTAACAATACAGCATTGTGTGAGTTGCTCTCAGTCAACTGAATGACCAAAGACACACTGGGCAACTTTTAGAAGGGAACTTTCAGGAGGATAAAGAAGAGATCTCAAAAGCATATGATTATATCTGCAGAACTACAGACTTTGAATTCACTTCATTTCCAAAGGGGAAAATATGCAACCATCCCCAACCTGGACCTGGTATCTCAGTGGCCCACTGTTTAATTTTATGAGCATCTATTATGAGCAAAAAGCTATGAGAAAGGTCAGCAAAATATAGCTCCTGGCTTCCAGATCTCAGACATGGTATTCACAAATACCTTCAGAAAAGGGATAACAGCACTTATTTTCCTAGCTTTCTAAAAATGTCTTTTTTTTGAGATCTCCTAAGGCAGCATTTTTGTTATTTGGTTGCTGCTGCTGCTGCTGCTGCTGCGTGTGTGTGTGTGTGTGTGTGTATGTGTGTGTGTGTGAGAGAGAGAGAGAGAGAGAGAGAGAGAGAAAGGGGGGAGGGGGAGGGGGAGGGAATGAATTTGAAGGAATGAGACAGGATATCTTATTTGGCACAGAATTCCTGCTTGTCTCTGAAGCTGTTAAATGTATCTGGATGCTTCCCAGAGGAAAGGAAAAGGAATAGTATAATCTAGTTTCCATCTAGATGGATACCCTAGGTTGCTGGAATGCAAACAGCCTAGATTCAAAGACTTAACTGTATTAATTTGTGTAGATCAAACATCAAGTAAGATGTCAAATTCAAGGTGGTGTCACACACTGCCTAGCTCTTGTGTAAGCTGTACATGTTGGTGAAAGGGCACAACCAGCATTCCCAGTTTTCTTGCGTTATTTTAGGAAAACTCTTAAGTGAAAGGGCCATAATTATATGTAGAGAGATGCTTACCAGCCTGAGGGGAGTTCTGGGATTTGAAGAGACCAACAACTCCCTTGCCATGGAATCCTCCAGCTCGGAGGAGCAGAGTACCACTTCTTGAGTTCTTCCAACACACAACAGGCAGGCGATTGTGTCGATAGCAGCGTGCTACTCTTGGTAAACTACTGTCCTGTACAGCTTGAGGTATGACTAAAAGGCCAGGATAGCTTTGGGGATATGGAAAGAAGACAAGGAATGGAGAGAGAGAATATAAAAATATGAGTATCATAGAATTAGTAATTTCCTGACTCATATTGGTTGAGGGGCAAGACATATGAGTATATCTCAAATATGTGACTTATTTTTAATTTTCAATTCTTCAGGGGCTGAGAAGAAAAGGCCTCGATGGTAAAAATGGTACAGTTATCCACCGATCTGCAGTCAGTTTTCAAATTGTTCAGACTTGTGCTGAACAATCCAAGCTAAGAAACTACACATGTAGAATTAATATTTGGGTAAACTGAATACTTCCCTTGCCTTACATACCACTTTTTTTCCAACTTGCAGTAAGACTGTATAAATTAATGCCAACTTTATAAGAATAAGTTAAACTATCAACAATCACAGACCACTGAAATGACCCCAGAGGATGGAACCCATCAACACAGACTTCCTGAGACAGGGAAAGAACTAAAAATCACAACCAAAGGATGCTTTGAATGGGGAAATGCTTACATGCAAAACTTAGCTTGGATATTTTATTAGCATTACATGTTGCTATTTAAAAATTAATTCAAAAATTATAGGACTGATGACAGCAAAAATAAAAACTAAGAATACCTTGTTTCATAGACTAGTAAGTACAAAAGTCAATAGGCAGGTTTCAGTCATATCTTTAGTTTATTTAGAAACATTACAGTAATGATATTTCATATTTATAAGGTCCCAATCACTGATCTCATCTCTTTGGTGATCAAAAAACTGTGGTAAAAGATACTTAACATAAAATTTATCATTTTTTTAAAATAATTATTTATTTATTTGAAAGGCAGAATTACAGAGAGGTAGAGGCAGAGAGAGAGTTCTCCCTTTCGCTGATTCATTCCCTAAATGGCCACAACAGCCAGAGCTGCGCAGATTCGAAGCCAGGAGCCGGGGACTTCTTCCAGGTCTCCTTGTGGCTACAGGGGCCTAAGGACTTGAAACACCTTCAACTGCTTTCCCAGGCTATAGCAGAGAGCTGGATTAGAATTGGAGCAGCCTGGACTCAAACTGGCGACCATATGGAATGCCAGCACTGCAGGCGGTGGCTTTATTTTTTTATTTTATTTTATTTTATTTTATTTTATTTTATTTATTTATTTTTTGACAGGCAGAGTGGACAGTGAGAGAGAGAGAGACAGAGAGAAAGGTCTTCCTTTTGCCATTGGTTCACCCTCCAATGGCCGCCGCGGCCGGCACACTATGGCTGGCGCACCGCACTGATCCAATGGCAGGAGCCAGGTGCTTACCCTGGTCTCCCATGGGGTGCAGGGCCCAAGCACTTGGGCCATCCTCCACTGCCTTCCCCGGGCCACAGCAGAGAGCTGGCCTGGAAGAGGAGCAACCGGCGCCCTGACTGGGACTAGAACCCGGTGTGCCGGCGCCGCAAGACGGAGGATTAGCCTAGTGAGCCGCGATGCCGGCCCAGGCGATGGCTTTATCCACTACACCACAGCACCAGCCCCTCATGCTATCTTTTTGAAGTGTACAAGTCAGTGGCATTAAATACATTCACAAAGTTATGCAACCACCACCAGTATCCATTTCCAGAATTTCTAAGTCCTTATCTTTATATAAACCATTGCTGAGAGAGGAGAGGAATCCAATTTATAGTCAAGTAGACCATAATCTTCAACTACTTTAGTGAATGCCAATTTAACCTTCTGTATTTACTCAATGATAGCTTTGGAAGCATTCTGAAAGCATAGAACCTTGGTGCTCTATGAGGCTGAGGCTTGTATTTTTCTAACACTGAAAACTGATGAGAAGACCAAGCTGCAGACACAATCTCTCAAGAAGGCTGGAAAAGCAGTCTCATGATTTGAACCTTCAGTTTTTAACTTCACTTTAATATCTATTTTCCTGTGCTACTGACACAATGATAATGTGTATAACATAAGGGAGTAATGTCTACTGGCTCCAGGAGCTGCTTCAATAACTAGCAAAGAACCAGCACATTCCTTCACTTGTGTCTTCTCCTCCCACTGGACATGAGTTCCATGGACCATGCTCTCTTACACACAAGATCCAAGGCTCTGCTGGTCCCAGACTTGGGCTTCAGGGACAGCTGGAGAGCCCCTGGCACTGGGGCAAGCAGTGCTGAGCCTGAAGAGCAGGAGAGGCCGCTCTCAGTACCAGTAATGAAAGGCACCAAAGTAAAGCTCACGAGGTAGTCTGGGCTTCAGAAGCTGCTGTGCAAACTTCCTAGTCAAGAGTAATTCACATGCATATGCTCAAAGCATCAACTAACTTACACAAAAATAAATCCATGTCATACCAACCATGTGAAGAAATGAACCATTACCAACCAACCAAGAAGATCCACTCACGTCTCCTCCCAATCACTATTTCTCCCCTTCTTTTAAGGTTACCACTAAATTGACTGTTAACAACGCCAATGAGTTTTGCCCATTTAAAAATTCTAGATAAAAGGAACCAAGAGAATTTATTATTTTGTGTCTGGTTTCTTTTGCTCAACATCTTGTCTGTGGGATCCACCCAAGTTACTGTGTTTAGTTTGTTCACTTTCATTACAGTATAGAATTCCACCATGTGATTCTACTACCACTTATTTATCTATTCTACTGCTGTTGATCTTGAGTAGTTTCTAGCATTTTATTTTAAGAATAGTGTTGTTGGGGCCGGCACTGTGGTACAGCGGGTTGATGCCCTAGCCTGAAGCGCCGGCATCCCATGTGGGCGCCGGTTCTAGTCCCAGCTGCTTCTCCTCCCATCCAGCTCTCTGCTGTGGCCTGGGAAAGCAGAAGATGGCCCAAGACCTTGGGCCCCTGTGCCCACATGGGAGACCTGGAAGAAGCTCCTGGCTCCTGGCTTTGGACTGGCACAGGCCTGGCCGTTGCGGCCATCTGGGGAGTGTACCAGAGGATGGAAGACCTCTCTCTGTAACTCTTTCAAATAAATAAAATAAATCTTAAAAAAAAAAAAAAGAATAATGTTGTCAGGATGGACATCTGGCATAGTGGTTAAGGCACACCTTGGGGATGCTTGTATCCCATACTGGAGTGCCTCGATTTAAATCCCAGCTCTGCTCCAGATTCCAGCTTCCTATTAATGTGTACCCTAAGAGGCAACAGGTGATGGCTTATGTACTTATGTTTCTGCCACTCACACAACAAGACTCAAATTGAATTCCTGGCTCCTAGCTTTGGCCTGGCCTAGTATGGGCTGTGGCATTTGGAGAGTGAGCCAGCAGAGGGGGTATCTCTTCCATATTAAAAAACTAGAAAGGGCTGGCGCTGTGGCATAATAGGAAATGCTGTCGCCTGCAGTACCAGCATCCCATATGGGCACCAGTTTGAGTTCTGGCTGCTCCACTTCCCATCCAGCTCTGTGATGGCCTGGGAAAGCAGTAGAAGATGGCCCAAGTGCTTGGGCCCCTGCACCCACATAGGAGACCTAGAAGAAGCTCCTGGCTCCTGGCTTTGGATCGGCCTAGCTCCAGTCATTGCGGTTATTTGGGGAGTGAACCAGCAAGTGGAGGACTTCTCTTTCTCTCTCTGCAACTCTGTATTTAAAATAAAATAAATAAAATCTTTAAAAAAAGAAAAAATTAGAAATCATAAACATATATATGAAATGTTTTTCTGTATATAATGACCTTATTACATATTTTTCAAAATCCTTTTAATGTGGTAGGTAAATTATGCTAGTTGATTTTCAAATGTGAAATGTTCTGTATTCCTACTTGGTTTTAATGAGTGGATCTTTTGTCATCCTTGTTACTAATAATTCTTTTTGAAAAAGGCATAATTTATTTATTTATTTATTTAAAAGGCAAAGGGACAGACAGTGAAGGAGAGACAGAGAGAAAGAGAAATCTTCCATCCACTCTTCAAATGGCTTCACAGCCAGGTTAGGGCAAGGCTGAAGCCAGGGAGCCACAAACTCTATTCTGGTCTTCACATGGGTGGCAGGGTCCTAGAAGCACTTGAGCTATCCTCTACTGCCTTCCAAGGTCTATTAGCAGCAAGCTGTACTGGAAGCTGAGTAGCCTGGACTTAAACCAGCAATCCACATGTCACAGGCAGTAGCTTGACCAGTTATGCCACAACATCTCCTGAACTAATAATGCTTTTTAAAGTCTACTTTGATATTTATATACTGACAATAGCATTTTTTTTTTTTTTTTTGACAGGCAGAGTGGACAGTGAGAGAGAGAGACAGAGAGAAAGGTCTTCCTTTGCCGTTGGTTCACCCTCCAATGGCCGCCGCGGCCGGCGCGCTGCGGCCGGTGCACCGCGCTGATCCGATGGCAGGAGCCAGGAGCCAGGTGCTTATCCTGGTCTCCCATGGGGTGCAGGGCCCAAGCACCTGGGCCATCCTCCACTGCACTCCCTGGCCACAGCAGAGGGCTGGCCTGGAAGAGGGGCAACCGGGACAGAATCCGGCGCCCCGACCGGGACTAGAACCCGGTGTGCCGGCGCCGCTAGGCGGAGGATTAGCCTAGTGAGCCGCGGCGCCGGCTTGACAATAGCATTTTTAAGGTAGTTGTGCATAGTATTTTCTCTATCCTTTTACTTCCTACCTTTTTATATAAATTCTTGCATGTTAGCTATATCCCTTAAAAGCAGCAGAAAGCTTAAAGAAAAAAAAACCATGATAATCTATTTCAGTTAATCAGAGCACTGAATCAATTTTCAGTTAACAAATTATTCATATATTTCAACTTAAATCTTCCCTCCTACTACATGCATTTCATTGTCCCATCTGTTCTGTTTTTCCTTTGCTAACCTTTCTTGCCTTATTTTGGATTATTTTTATTATTCCATTTTCTTCTTTCCAATAGTCTGATGAATGTCTATGATTTTATACCACCATAAACACTTTATATAAAAAGGGTTCTAGGGGCTGGCTCCATGGTGCAGTGGATTAATCCTCTGCCTGCAGCATCAGCATCCCATATGGGCGCTAGTTCTAGTCCTGGCTGCCTCTCTTCCAATCCAGC